TTTTTATATTTATTAAAGGGCAGACATACAAGTTCCCTACCTTCTCCCCTTCCACTTGACTTCTCAATTTCTGTGGTAATGCTGTAATCAATTGGTTGTTACTTTGTATTGAGCAAACATTCCCATATATTCTCGATAGCTGCATGTGTGACAACTCCACTAGCTTCCCACTGGGCACAGACGTCAATTCAACATCTATTCCACGTTGGTTCAACATAATTTCATTGAAATGACGTGGAAACAACGTTGAGTCAACCAGTGTGTGCCTAGTGGGTTATTTTTATTAGTATATTCATAATCACTGCACATTTTGTGCAGCCAGTCTAATTGGTTTTGAACACATTGAGAGGGTTCATCAGTTCTGTATGTTTCACTATTGGGTTATCATTTGACTTTAAAGATCCTCTTTTAAAGCCATTAAGCAGCTAGCTAGCTGTAAGTGTGTAACAAACACAGCTTGAAGTCATGGCCATAGCTATCTTCCCATGTACCTCTTCCCATGTACCTACAGTCTGACTTTAATTTTGATAGGGCATGAGAAAATATTGGACTGAGCACGCCCCCATTCTCATCGATGGGGCTGTAGTGGAACAGGTTGAGAGCTTCAAGTTCCTTGGTGTCCACATCACCAACGAACTATCATGGTCCAAACACACCAAGACAGTCGTGAAGAGGGCATGACAAAGCCTATTCCCCCTCAGGAGACTGAAAAGATTTGGCATGGGTCCGTCAGATCCTCAAAAAGTTATACAGGCTGCACCATCGAGAGCATCCTGACTGGTTGCATAACTGCCTGGTATGGAAACTGCTCAGCCTCCGACCGCAAGGCACTACAGAGGGTAGTGCGTATGGCCCAGTACATCACTGGGGCCAAGCTTCCTGCCATCCAGGACCTCTATACCAGGCGGTGTCAGAGGAAGGCCCTAAAAATTGTCAAAGACTCAAGCCACACTAGTCATAGACTGTTCTCTCTGCTACCACACGGCAAGCGTTACCGGAGTGCCAAGTCTAGGTCTCACAGACCTGTTAGTTTTTCTTTAAGAAGCCCTCCTGTTCTCCACTCATTACCTGTATTAACTGCACCTGTTTGAACTCGTTACCTGTATAAAAGACACCTGTCCACACACTCAATCGAACAGACTCCAACCTCTCCACAATGGCCAAGACCAGAGAGCTGTGTAAGGACATCAGGGATAAAATTGTAGACCTGCACAAGGCTGTGATGGGCTACAGGACAATAGGCAAGCAGCTTGGTGAGAAGGCAACAACTGTTGGCGCAATTATTTGAAAATGGAAGAAGTTCAAGATGACGGTCAATCACCCTCGGTCTGGGGCTCCATGCAAGATCTCACCTTGTGGGGCATCAATGATCATGAGGAAGGTGAGGGATCAGCCCAGAACTACACGGCAGGACCTGGTCAATGACCTGAAGAGAGCTGGGACCACAGTCTCAAAGAAAACCATTAGTAACACACTACGCCGTCATGGATAAAAATCCTGCAGCGCACGCAAGGTCCCCCTGCTCAAGCCAGTGCATGTCCAGGCCGTCTGAAGTTTGCCAATGACCATCTGGATGATCCAGAGGAGGAATGGGAGAAGGTCATGTGGTCTGATGAGACAAAAATAAAGCCTTTTGGTCTAAACTCCACTCGCCGTGTTTGGAGGAAGAAGAAGGGTGAGTACAACCCCAAGAACACCATCCCAACCGTGAAGCATGGAGGTGGAAACATCATTCTTTGGGGATGCTTTTCTGCAAATGGGACAGGACGACTGCACCGTATTGAGGGGAGGATGGATGGGGCCATGTATCGCGAGATCTTGGCCAACAACCTCCTTCCCTCAGTAAGAGCATTGAAGATGGGTCGTGGCTGGGTAATCCAGCATGACAACGACCCGAAACACACAGCCAGGGCAACTAAGGAGTGGCTCCGTAAGAAGCATCTCAAGGTCCTGGAGTGGCCTAGCCAGTCTCCAGACCTGAACCCAATAGAAAATCTTCGGAGGGAGCTGAAAGTCCGTATTGCCCAGCGACAGCCCCGAAACCTGAAGGATCTGGAGAAGGTCTGTATGGAGGAGTGGGCCAAAATCCCTGCAGCAGTGTGTGCAAACCTGGTCAAGACCTACAGGAAACGTATGATCTCTGTAATTGCAAACAAAGGTTTCTGTACCAAATATTAAGTTCTGCTTTTCTGATGTATCAAATACTTATGTCATGCAATAAAATGCTAATTAATTACTTAAAAATCATACAATGTGATTTTCTGGATTTTTGTTTTAGATTCCGTCTCTCACAGTTGAAGTGTACCTATGATACAAATTACAGACCTCTACATGCTTTGTAAGTAGGAAAACCTGCAAAATCGGCAGTGTATCAAATACTTCTTCTCCCCACTGTATGTGTGTGTGTGTGTGTGTGTAGTCCCGTGTAGCTCAGTTGGTAGAACATGGCGTTTGCAACACCAGGGTTGTGGGTTCGATTCCCACGGGGGGCCAGTATGAAAATATATGCACTCATTAAAAAACTGCTGTAATGATCCACCAGGCTGAGTATCAGACAGTGCCTGGGTGTCCTCAGGAACAACAAATCATGTGACATATACTGTATCCCTTCCAGATGGCTCCCTACTTCAGCTCTTATTGAATTGTCCATGTTTACACTGCCCTCCCAGCTGCTCTTAGACACTTTCCTTATATTTTCAGATCTCTAATGTGTTGAGGACTAAACAAACCTAACTTAATACTGGAAGCCCTGTGGATGGAGGAGAGAAAGCCCCTTAGAATGGTGTAAGAGAGGACAGGGGGCTGGTAATACTATTTTAAGTCCACTTTGAAGCATCATGTTGCAGTGGATACAGTAGAAGGCCATTCGTTCTGTATGTTGATATATCTCTGGTTGCGATCTGCTGTCTATGTTGTGTCCTCTCTGCCTAGTAATGGTTCGGTGTCGGCCTGAAAGCAGAGCTAATTAGAAGCTTGCTGCTGTTGAGTGTTTGCCAGAAGAGAGAGAGGAGATTAACTCAATGAGAAATGGGTTCTCACGCTAGCTCCTACTAGCTCCGCTCCAGAGTAGTGATCATCCGCCAGGGTTTCATCATGTGGCTGCTCCTGATCTCTCTCTCTCTCTCTCTCTCTCTCTCTCTCTCTCTCTCTCTCGCTCTCGCTCTCGCTCTCGCTCTCGCTCTCGCTCTCGCTCTCGCTCTCGCTCTCGCTCTCGCTCTCGCTCTCGCTCTCGCTCTCGCTCTCGCTCTCGCTCTCGCTCTCGCTCTCTCTCGCTCTCTCTTGCTCTCTCTTGCTCTCTCTCGCTCTCTGTGTCTCTCTGTGTCTGTGCTGGCATTCACTTCAGAATATTTGTAATTTGCGGTGTCAAGGTATTTTTGAAGAAATTATTTCTGAATTGCCTACAACAGGAATGTTATCATTTTTCATGCATGATGTATTTATTTGATTCTCTGAAGCTTTTTTTATGATGGGTAACATCACAAATGCATACTGGCATATTTAGACAGAGCTTTGTGCCTCCTAATCCTGCTAGGTATAGATACCAAGGTCCCAATGGAATATACTGTACAGTTCCTTTTGATTATCCCCACACAGCTATACTCTACTGCACCCTCAGGCCTGTGTGTGGCATAGACCATCCTCGTTGTGTGCACAAATGCCTGTGTGTGTGTGTGGCCTGGGCAAGCTGGGCCTCATGCGGCCTGTCTAACAGAGAATAAACATATATCTGAGCCACAAAGGTGTTGTAGGACTCCTGTGGCAGGCTGTATGGAGCAGGTCCCATGCAGAGCCATTACCTCTGGCTCTATGAAAGACTGCTAGTCAGAGGGGACATCATTCACAACCACATCATTAGAAATCATTTTCCTCTCCCTTTTCTCTGAAATGGCTCACAGAACAATTGTACGGAACACACCTCCAAAGTATGGGGAAGCATTTTGTCATGGGTATATCTAGACTCTAAATGGAGTATTCACAAGCACAGCTTCCATATGACCTTTGTCATTAAGAAGCACATAGAGAATGTCAACTCATATTATCCATAATACAGTGTTTTTTTTTTTTATATCTAACATGAGAAAATGTAGGGTTGACTGAAAATCCTGATTTGACAGCGCACTCGGTAGAGGAAAGAATTCCTTAACTGTATTCTGAACAAAAAGGGAACTGTTGGAGAGATCCATTGTGAACAGTTTTCCCTCCCGGCTAAGGGAGATAAAAAGAAAATAAATGGTGTCATTAGAGTTTTTGTCTGCATGTTTTCTCTTAAGTATGAATAAGAACTACAGTGTACTTCAATCGGTTTGCCCTTAAATGGGTGACATAACATCCACTGGTTTGACTCCGATGTCTGCTTGTAGGGGGAGAGAGCGCATAATGATGAATAATGTAATTTCATTATTCAGGTAGCATCTTCTGTCCTATTATTGTAGCTTTGGAGAGACATTTGCTTTCTGCTGAAAGGTTACGCTGCTCACCTTGGCTCAGCTCAGTGTATGCTAAACACTGCCAGTTAGGAGTTCTACCTTCTTCTTCTAAACCTTTAAGAAATAAGGAGGGATGGAAACTAGCTGATGCAGTAGACTCCCTCAAAGCAGCACTTCTACAATGTACCTGCAGATAATAACCATATCCCTTGTATGCTGTTCTGATGTACACTACCGGTCAAAAGTTTTAGAACACCTACTCATGCCAGGAGTGTGCAAAGCTGTCATCAAAGCAAAGGGTGGCTATTTGAAGAATCTCTAATCTAAAATATATTTTGATTTCTTTAACACTTTTTTGGTTACTACATGATTCCATATGTGTTATTTCATAGTCTTCACTATTATTCTACAATGTAGAAAATAGTAAAAATAAAGAAAAACCCTTGAATAAGTAGGTGTTCTAAAACTTGACTTGACCGGTAGTGTATATATCCAGTGTCGTGTTATACACATTTCCTTGGCTAAGTCAGAGTTATATCTGAACTGATCTGTTTGTTTTTTCCAGGTGTGTAGGTTGGCAACGCCAATACACCACCAGTCAAGATGGTGGCCCTTTCACTGAAGATCTGTGTCCGCCAGTGCAATGTTGTGAAGACCATGCAGTTTGAGCCCTCCACTCCTGTGTATGACGCCTGTAGGATCATCAGGGAGAGGGTTCCGGAAGCCCAGACTGGCCAAGGTGAGAGATTGGGGAAAGCTACTGTTAATGGGTAATGTCAGAATGATTCACTTGCAAAAGGCTCACTTGCACTAAGAAAAAAATTGAAATACAAAAACGACACAATTACTTTGTACTAAATACACCAAGAGTGTCATTGTAATCCAAATGTCAAACAAGGCATTAGTGTCTGATCATTGGTGTCTGTTTAGCTTCAGAATGTATGTAATGAATAAAAGCTGTTTAAGCAGGAGATACAAATGGATGTCACCCACAGCATGGCTTTCTGACTACAGACAGACTGAAAACAGTTTCAAAACCGAACAGTCGATGCTGGTTCAATCTGGGTCTGTGGGCGGTATTCCTCCCTTTGGGAAGGTGTTAGTTAGGCAGGTTGGAGAGGCTCTCTGTGGTGTTAGCTAGGCATGCTGGAGAGGCTCTTTAAGCTGTGCGCTCTCTTTAGGCTTTAGAACAGATTTATATCAGCTAGATATGTCTGATGGCAGACATGATTAACTTTCTTTCCCAACTGAATGTCATAACATGGATTATTCATATGAATGTCAATGAGATCAGAAAAAGAGGCATCCTCTGTATCATAAACAATAACTACATGAGATGCCGTTAAATAGCATTGTCTTGTCAACATGTGTTCACTTAGTTGGCTTTTGCCATTTAAACAGTCAATCGAGCAACTGTTCCCATTACTAAACGTTACCCTAATACGTTCTCCGCTGTGTGTTTCAGCTTCTGATTATGGCCTGTTTCTCTCTGATGATGATCCCAGAAAAGGAATCTGGCTGGAGTCTGGGAGAACTCTGGATTACTATATGCTCCGGAACGGGGTAAAGCCCAATCATAGAGCCCAGGGCAGAGTCCCATCAGACATTCAATCAAAGGAACTGCATCTCATTCCCCTCTTTCCTTGTTTCTCAGGATGTCTTGGAGTACAAGAAGAAACAGAGGCCCCAGAAGATCAAGATGTTGGACGGGGCAGTTAAAACTATCATGGTGGATGACTCTAAAACCGTGGGAGAGCTGCTTGTAACCATATGTAGTAGAATAGGTGGGTAACCTCTCTTCAACTGGAATCTATAACAGTCAAACCATCCACTAGCCTCTCAGAGTACAAGTGCTGATCTAGGATCTGTCCATATATTCTTATTCATTAAGATCTAAAAGGCAAAACAGATCCTAGATCAATACTCCTACTCTGAGACCTTTTGTGGATACGGGCCATGATCCTATTTATAGCTCACGGTTACTGGCTCCGCCATACATTATGGTTGCACATCCCTTAGCTTTTAGAACATGATAATTAGCTATGGTACTGGTATAGTCAACGTTTTATATAGATATTTTTGATGGTGTAAAAAAGCCTTTTTCCCCTATGTTGAAATTATGAGTGGTAATTGTGAAGCCATAGACTGTGCTGTCCTCCTGTCATGTAGGTGTTCCCACAGCCATATACTGTATTTCAATTACGCTGGGCTGCCTGTGCCCAAACTCAATTGGGTGAGGAGAAGAAAGACGTCTGGCAAATCTCTTTATTGGCTGGTGTTTGTTTAGAAAGGGCTTTCTGCTTGGCTTCTCCTCTTCTGAGTTCCCCCTTTAGTTTTCTGGCTGCTCTCCAGTTTCCCCCACTGGGGCTTCGGATATGGCACAGCTCAAAGTGCTGGCTCTGTGCTCTACACTGCTCCCTCTCTGAGAGTTTCCTGGCTGCCTCTCCTCTTCAGGAATCACCAACTACGAGGAGTACTCTCTGATCCAGGAGGCGGTGGAGGAGAAGAAGGAGGACGGTCATGGGTCGGGCACCCTGAAGAAGGACAGGACTCTGCTCCGAGACGAGAGGAAGATGGAGAAGCTCAAAGCCAAGCTTCACACAGATGATGACTGTGAGTTTGAAAAGCACTTCCAAAAGAAGACAAAATGTGTTGTTTTATAGTCCAGTATTACATGCTTCCAGTCATCACCTCTACCCCTCTCTCATTAAGTCCAATATCTCACTATAATAAGTCCAGGATCATCTCATTTGAACATGTTTTATCACTCAACTCAAAGTCATAGTACTGTATCAATGTTTAATGAAATGAAGATTGTTATCTTACCCCCAAGGAACAGAAATGACATTTGGAAAATATTCATATAAAAATCATCCTCAAACCATCACAAAATCGATCCTTATTCTCAGCAGAACGTTATGCAAATTACTGCCCTTGTGGTTTTAGACAAAAACAAATAATAATTTCCTTTTGGCATTGAGGTCTACCTGTCTTTCTGACTGTTTTATTTCACTGTCAGCATGCCCAATCCCAGTAGTAGAAGTGTATGCTACTGTGTATTATACATACGTGAGTATGTGTTTCTCTGTTGCCAGTGAACTGGCTGGACCACAGCCGGACGTTCAGAGAGCAGGGAGTGGAGGAGAGCGAGATGCTGCTGCTCAGACGCAAGTTCTTCTATTCAGATCAGAATGTGGACTCACGAGACCCTGTCCAGCTCAACCTCCTCTATGTACAGGTCAGACTTCTCTCTCTCACTGTGCTCATTGCTGTCCAACATGTAGTAAACTAAGCTCTTCAATATATTCACAAAATAATTGATTAAAAAACACTGTTTTGCAATGACGTCTACAGTAGCCTCAACAGCACTCTGTAGGGTAGCACCATGGTGTAGCCGGAGGACAGCTTGATTCCGTCCTCCTTTGGGTACAGTGCCTTGCTAAAGTATTCATCCCCCTTTGCGTTTTTCCTATTTTGTTGCATTACAATCTGTAATTTAAATGGATTTCTATTTGGATTTCATGTAATGGACATACAAAATAGTCCAAATTGGTGAAGTGAAATGAAAAAAATAACTTGTTTAAAAAAATTCTAAAACATAAATAACGGAAAAGTGGTGCGTACATATGTATTCACCCCCTTCGCTATGAAGCCCCTAAATAAGATCTGGTGGAACCAATTACCTTCAGAAGTCACATAATTAGTTAAATAAAGTCCACCTGTGTGCAATCTAAGTGTCACATGATCTCAGTGTATATATACACCTGTTCTGAAAGGCCCCAGAGTCTGCAACACCACTAAGGAAGGGGCACCACCAAGCAAGCGGCACCATGAAGACCAAGGAGCTCTCCAACAGGGCAGGGACAGTTATGGAGAAGTACAGATCAGGGTTGGGTTATACAAAAATATCAGAAACTTTGAACATCCCATGGAGCACTATTTTAAATCCATTATTAAAAAATGGAAAGAATATGGCACCACAACAAACCTGCCAAGAGAGGGCCACCCACCAAAACTCACGAACCAGGCAAGGAGGGCATTAATCAGAGAGGCAACAAAGACACCAAAGATACCAAAGATATCCCTGAAGGAGCTCCAGAGCTCCACAGCGGAGATTGGAGGATCTGTCCATAGGACCACTTTAAGCCGTACACTCCACAGAGCTGGGCTTTACGGGAGAGTGGCCAGAAAAAAGCCATTGCTTAAAGAAAAAAATAAGCAAACACGTTTGGTGTTCGCCAAAAGCCATGTGGGAGACTCCCCAAACATATGAAGAAGGTACTCTGGTCGGATGAGACTAAAATTGAGCTTTTTGGCCATCAAGGAAAACGCTATGTCTGGCGCAAACCCAAATTCCTCTCATCACCCCGAGAACACCATGGTGGTGGCAGCATCATGCTGTGGGGATGTTTTTCATCGGCAGGGACTGGGAAACTATTCAGAATGATGGATGGAGCTAAATACGGGGAAATTCTTGAGGGAAACCTGTTTCAGTCTTCCAGACATTTGAGACTGGGACGGAGGTTCACCTTCCAGCAGGACAACAACCCTAAGCATACTGCTAAAGCAACACTCGAGTGGTTTAAGGGGAAACATTTAAATGTCTTGGAATGGCCTAGTCAAAGCCCAGACCTCAATCCAATTGAGAAGCTGTGGGATGACTTAAAGATTGCTGTACACCAGCGGAATCCATCCAACTTGAAGGAGCTGGAGCAGTTTTGCCTTGAAGAATGGGTAAAAATCCCAGTGGCTAGATGTGCCAAGTTTATAGAGACATACCTCAAGAGACTTGCAGCTGTAATTGCTACAAAAGGTGGCTTTTTTTGTCTTATTTGTTTCACAATAAAATAAATTTTGCATCTTCAAATTGGTAAGCATGTTGTGTAAATCAAATGATACAAACCCCCCAAAAATCCATTTTAATTCCAGGTTGTAAGGCAACAAAATAGGAAAAATGCCAAGGGGGGTGAATACTTCAATACAAAACCTAGGAGGCTTGTGGTTCTCACCCACTTCCATAGACTTACAAAGTAATTATGACGTCCTCCAACCTATCAGAGCTCTTGCAGCATTAATTAACATGTTGTCCACCCAATCAAAGGATCAGAGAATGAATCTAGTACTGAAAGCATAAGCTACAGCTAGCTAGCACTGCAGTGCATAAAATGTGGTGAGTAGTTGACTCAAAGAGAGAGGAAGATAATAGTTGAACAGTTTTGAACAAATTAATTACTTCAAAAATTAAGAAGCAGTAGAGCTAGCTATATTTTCTTGTATTGCAGCAAATGCAGCTAGCTAGTTTAGCCTACTCAAACACCCGGCTCAAACAGAGAGTGATGCTATGTTAGCTAGTTGGCTATGGCTATCCAACACTGGAACTCTTCCAAGTCAAGGTAAGCTTTTGGTTGTATTAATTTATTGCCACCGGCTCTCGCCGGTGTAACTGCTAAACTGCATGATTGTAGCAGGTTTACGAACGCGTTAGTCAACATAGCTACTAGAACTATGACATTAATATGGTGACAACGATGTAGGTTAGCGGTTATAATATGAAGGTTTGGCCTGGAAAGATTTTTTTGCCTGGTCACAGACAGCTGATGTGTTGTGCACTGAACTCCACAAGCGAACGGAGACAGTGAGAGAATGAGAGCACGTAGATGCTTGAAGGAATTGTACAACGATCAAAGGGATCATGCTAGGTTGTAGCATCCTAATGATGGGTATAGGGAACATTTGAGTATCATATATTAGCCTAACCTATCGATGTTACATTGAGCTGGGTGAATGGAATATGAATGATAGTCATCCAATATGCTATAATAGGAATAAGGCCACGCTCATAAAAAAAAAAAATTGTCCTTCCTCATCTTAAACGTCACCGATGTATAGTCACTTTACCCCTACCTACATATTACCTCAATTACATCAAATAACCCATACCCTTGCACATTGACTCGGCACCAGTACCCCTTGTACAGTGGGGAAAAAAATTATTTAGTCAGCCACCAATTGTGCAAGTTCTCCCACTTAAAAAGATGAGAGAGGCCTGTAATTTTCATCATAGGTACACGTCAACTATGACAGACAAATTGAGAAAAAAAATCCAGAAAATCACATTGTAGGATTTTTAATGAATTTATTAGCAAATTATGGTGGAAAGTAAGTATTTGGTCACCTACAAACAAGCAAGATTTCTGGCTCTCACAGACCTGTAACTTCTTCTTTAAGAGGCTCCTCTGTCCTCCACTCGTTACCTGTATTAATGGCACCTGTTTGAACTTGTTATCAGTATAAAAGACACCTGTCCACAACCTCAAACAGTCACACTCCAAACTCCACTATGGCCAAGACCAAAGAGCTGTCAAAGGACACCAGAAACAAAATTGTAGACCTGCACCAGGCTGGGAAGACTGAATCTGCAATAGGTAAGCAGCTTGGTTTGAAGAAATCAAATGTGGGAGCAATTATTAGGAAATGGAAGACATACAAGACCACTGATAATCTCCCTCGATCTGGGGCTCCACGCAAGATCTCACCCCGTGGGGTCAAAATGATCACAAGAACGGTGAGCAAAAATCCCAGAACCACACGTGGGGACCTAGTGAATGACCTGCAGAGAGCTGGGACCAAAGTAACAAAGCCTACCATCAGTAACACACTACGCCGCCAGGGACTCAAATCCTGCAGTGCCACACGTGTCCCCCTGCTTAAGCCAGTAATGTCCAGGCCCGTCTGAAGTTTGCTAGAGTGCATTTGGATGATCCAGAAGAGGATTGGGAGAATGTCATATGGTCAGATGAAACCAAAATAGAACTTTTTGGTAAAAAACTCAACTCGTCGTGTTTGGAGGACAAAGAATGCTGAGTTGCATCCAAAGAACACCATACCTACTGTGAAGCATGGGGGTGGAAACATCATGCTTTGGGGCTGTTTTTCTGCAAAAGGACCAGGACGACTGATCCGTGTAAAGGAAAGAATGAATGGGGCCATGTATCGTGAGATTTTGAGTGAAAACCTCCTTCCATCAGCAAGGGCATTGAAGATGAAACGTGGCTGGGTCTTTCAGCATGACAATGATCCCAAACACACCGCCCGGGCAACGAAGGGGTGGCTTCGTAAGAAGCATTTCAAGGTCCTGGAGTGGCCTAGCCAGTCTCCAGATCTCAACCCCATAGAAAATCTTTGGAGGGAGTTGAAAGTCCGTGTTGCCCAGCGACAGCCCCAAAACATCACTGCTCTAGAGGAGATCTGCATGGAGGAATGGGCCAAAATACCAGCAACAGTGTGTGAAAACCTTGTGAAGACTTACAGAAAACGTTTGACCTGTGTCATTGCCAACAAAGGGTATATAACAAAGTATTGAGAAACTTTTGTTATTGACCAAATACTTATTTTCCACCATAATTTGCAAATAAATTCATAAAAAATCCTACAATGTGATTTTCTGGATTTTTATTTCTCATTTTGTCTGTCATAGTTGACGTGTACCTATGATGAAAATGACAGGCCTCTCTCATCTTTTTAAGTGGGAGAACTTGCACAATTGGTGGCTGACTAAATACTTTTTTTCCCCACTGTATATGTATGTATGTATGTATGTATGTATGTATGTATGTATGTACTGTATATAATTTTTCTTCCACTTTCACATTACATAGTATTTTGTGTAGATTGTTGACAAAATATGACAATAAAATCCATTTGAATCCCACTTTGTAACACAATAAAATTTGAAGAAATCCAAGTGGTCCGAAATATTTTTGCAAGGCATTGTACAATAATACTGTACTGTACATCCATAGTTAACTCCCTCCTTGTAATCCAGGCTGCCTCGGAGCTACAGCCCATAAATACATCTATAGTTAAGTCTCTCTCTTTCTCCCTATCCTCCCTTTCACTCTTAAATCTTCCTCTTGCCCCGACTCCCTCCCTCATTCTCTGTTTTTGCCTCACGCCCCCTTAATCCCATAAACATCCTGACATAATCACACACATCCACACCCGCTTACTCTGGCACACATTGCAGTGCAGTGCTCCATCATGCACTCCCTTCCTTTACAAACACAAGGCAATATCTTTTCACACAAAAACACAATTCTTCCCTATATCTATTCCTCCCTTTGCTCCTCTTTCAGCTTTCCCTCTCTCTATTTCTTTTTTTTCACTCGGTCACACACAGTCACACACGCGCATGCACACACACACACACACACACACACACACGCAGAGAAAGGCTGTGGATTTCCTGTAGTAGTGGAGAAGAGATGTGTGTCAGGAGGGGAGTGTCTGGGAATTAAGGCTGGGGCTGTATCTGACAGAGACCCCCGCTGTGTGGAGGGGTGGGAGGATGAGATCATGGAAGCTACACATCATTAATAAACATTGGGGCTCATCACTAGGAGGCTCTCCCTAAGGAATGCCAGGGATGATATCATAATCTACACACTCACAAAATTAACCTACTAACTCAGATTCCTATGGTAATGGCTGCATGGGGAATGAGGACTGTTCCATCGTACCAGAATATAGACATTGACAGGAAGCATATATAGTACGGTCATGTGCTGGAGACGTGTCTGAGGAGAGCACTGCAAACGGCTCTTGGAAGGAGTCAGAGAGTGGATGTGGGGTCTGGGGTGTGTTCCAGCCTAAGAATGCTGCTACTCTTCTCGCTCTGTCAGGCCACTTTAATATTTTTGGCAATTTAGAGTCACTGGAGTCTGAGGCAGTGACATGTGGGGGGACTCTGTGTTCAGCCTGTGTGTGTGTGGCGCTAAAGTGTTTGAGCTCATTGTTTTTCCAATTGATGGGGTTGTGTCACGCTTTTGATCGTGTGTTCAGTATCCTGATTGCTAGATTATCATACAGTATGCAGTATATGTGTAGCCAATCCAGTCTACAGGCGTTCTAAACCGAATATCCCTTGTGTTTTGTTGTCAAACAACGGTTCTCGTTATTGATATGCCAATTGATTGATTGGCTGGTTAGTCAGGTGAATTACGATGGTATTCATTAAACAATTTTACCTTTGTCAGCATTTATGTTTATGGCTGTAATATTCCGCCCAAGTGAATGGTTGAACTCTTTAGGGTACAGTACAGTGGGCTGATTGACATCAGTGTTACACTCCCAGGCTGAGTCAGGACATCTGGGCTGTTATGAAGCTCCTCCTCCAGTACAGTACAACCCTGCTTCTTCTAAAGGGGCTCAGAACTAGTTGTCCCTGAATGACCTTGTACTGGAGGGCAGATGGCCCCACCCATACTGATCAGCTGATCAGCACCACTCTAAAGAGGTGTTTGTTGAAGATTGTCTAGCTGTTTAGCTTGCAGTTGATGTAATGAGACATTAAAATGAGCTGGGCTGAGTCTGTGCCCTCTGAGGATTAAAAACACTGAGGAAGGCTTTCTCACTGTCAGTCAGGCATCTCAGCATTAGAAGCCATTAATCTTGGGAGGGAGGGAGGGAGGGAGGGAAAACACACACACAAGGTACTAATTTGAAAGATGTCCAGAAGTACTGGGTTCCTCTCCACACAGAATCAATGTATCACCCTCAACTACCTAAACGGTTTTAGATAGTGTAGAGTAGACCACGTTTTGAGGTAATGCTTTAATGGATGGATGAGACATTGAAATGTAACAGATGTCTTAGATGATTGGTGCAAAATGGTACATTCCAACTAGGCTTTCATTGAAGTGGATTGAAAATATCATTCTTGTTGTGGCCAAACGAGACAGGTTGCTACAGTACATGGCTGCTATCAGGCATTATTGTGGCCTGGGTAGTCTTAATGTAGACTTTATTTACGTCCTGTTTATTGTTTTACATACACTTTGTGCATATTCTAATAATAAAAAACTAATACAGAATCACTCTAAAGTTGCTCTTTAACAGTTTATTAATGACACATTGTGGATCAGTCTGCAATATTGATGCAATATTCTGAGAAATTGCCATATTTTTTGACATCTTTGTGATAATACTGTACGTCACCATTGACTGTGATGATGAATGGTTGAGGCTGTTCGATTTTATATGTTAGCTAATGTCTTGGATTGCTATACAAACTAATCTTGTTTGGTTCCCCTGAGTCCATTACTCTCAGTAAAGTGTTTGTGTGATGTCCCTGCTCTTGGTTTACATTTATTCACTTAGCAGGCAATCTTCTCTGAAGCAACTTCCAAAACAGAAAAAGCAGCATTACTCTCTAGTTTGAACTCAGTATAAAGTAAAACTTAATCTGTTCTCTTATCTCTTCTGTCTCTCTTTCTCTCCTCTAGGCCAGAGATGACATACTGAATGGCTCCCACCCTGTTTCATTTGATAAAGCCTGTGAGTTCGCTGGAATTCAGGCCCAGATCCAGTTTGGCCCCCACGTCGAACACAAACACAAGCCTGGATTCCTAGAGTAAGCCCTTTTATCAGATGGCATTATCAACAATAACACTATTGTATCCAACACTACCATTCTATACATTTCAATCTTATTTAGACACAACACTACCATTGTAGTTTAGGGGAAATCCTTATTTTTGTCATACCTATTTGAGTGCAGTACTCAAAGGCATACGAGAATGTTAACACTTGTGAGTGTTTGTGTCTCAGGTGAAGAGGGTGGATCTGATCTCCATCACCTAGGACTTGACATAGATTAAATAGATTAATCAAATCTCACATTGTTGTCCATTTTTGCTCAATCTTGCATGCTTTCTCAAACAGCTGTAACTGTATATGCATTCGTAAATCAGGTCCTTTCTTGAGTTGGGCTCTGGGATGTAACAACCGTTGAGCATCTGATCTTATGGTTGATTGTGGAGGAAAGGGGTTGAGTGTGTTAGAGTATGTGCGTGTATGTTTATTTCACATCTGTTGCAAGGGGGTAAGGATGTTAGCTCAGTTGGTAGAGCATGGCGCTTGCAATGCCAGGGTTGTGGGTTCGTTTCCCACGGGGGGCCAGTATGAAAATGTATGCACTCACTAACTGTAAATCGCTCTGGATAAGAGTGTCTGCTAAATGACTAAAATGTAAAAAAATGTTAGGGAGAATATAGGATGAACCACAATAATTGTTTGCTAAAATAATAATTTTTGGTCAAAAATGTAATGTAATACAATGGCAATCCGGGTTATAGGTTAAAATCCTACGCATGAACTGCCAACATTATTACGCATATTAATCGATAATGATGGAAAATAAGATATGCAAGATATTTGAATGGATATATATTTTTAAATAGCTATATACACTGCTCAAAAAAATAAAGGGAACACTTAAACAAAACACAATGTAACTCCAAGTCAATCACACTTCTGTGAAATCAAACTGTTCACTTAGGAAGCAACACTGATTGACAATACATTTCACATGCTGTTGTGCAAATGGAATAGACAACAGGTGGAAATTATAGGCAATTAGCAAGACACCCCCAATAAAGGACTGGTTTTGCAGGTGGTGACCACAGACCACTTCTCAGTTCCTATGCTTCCTGGCTGATGTTTTGGTCACTTTTGAATGCTGGCAGTGCTTTCACTCTAGTGGTAGCATGAGACGAAGTCTACAACCCACACAAGTGGCTCAGGTAGTGCAGCTCATCCAGGATGGCACATCAATGCGAGCTTTGGCAAGAAGGTTTGCTGTGTCTGTCAGCGTAGTGTCCAGAGCATGGAGGCGCTACCAGGAGACAGGCCAGTACATCAGGAGACGTGGAGGAGGCTGTAGGAGGGCAACAACCCAGCAGCAGGACTGCTACCTCCGCCTTTGTGCAAGGAGGAGCAGGAGGAGCACTGCCAGAGCCCTGCAAAATGACCTCCAGCAGGCCACAAATGTGCATGTCTGCTCAAACGGTCAGAAACAGACTCCATGAGGGTGGTATGAGGGCCCGACGTCCACAGGTGGGGGTTGTGCTTACAGCCCAACACCGTGCAGGACGTTTGGCATTTGCCAGAGAACACCAAGATTGGCAAATTCGCCACTGGCGCCCTGTGCTCTTCACAGATGAAAGCAGGTTCACACTGAGCACATGTGACAGACGTGACAGAGTCTGGAGACGCCGTGGAGAATGTTCTGCTGCCTGCAACATCCTCCAGCATGACCGGTTTGGCGGTGGGTCAGTCATGGTGTGGGGTGGCATTTCTTTGGGAGGCCGCACAGCCCTCCATGTGCTCGCCAGAGGTAGCCTGACTGCCATTAGGTACCGAGATGAGATCCTCAGACCCCTTGTGAGACCATATGCTGGTGCGGTTGGCCCTGGGTTCCTCCTAATGCAAGACAATGCTAGACCTCATGTGGCTGGAGTGTGTCAGCAGTTCCTGCAAGAGGAAGGCATTGATGCTATGGACTGGCCCGCCTGTTCCCCAGACCTGAATCCAATTGAGCACATCTGGGACATCATGTCTCGCTCCATCCACCAACGCCATGTTGCACCACAGACTGTCCAGGAGTTGGCGGATGCTTTAGTCCAGGTCTGGGAGGAGATCCCTCAGGAGACCATCCGCCACCTCATCAGGAGCATGCCCAGGCGTTGTAGGGAGGTCATACAGGCACGTGGAGGCCACACACACTACTGAGCCTCATTTTGACTTGTTTTAAGGACATTACATCAAAGTTGGATCAGCCTGTAGTGTGGTTTTCCACTTTAATTTTGAGGGTGACTCCAAATCCAGACCTCCATGGGTTGATACATTTGATTTCCATTGATAATTTTGTGTGATTTTGTTGTCAGCACATTCAACTATGTAAAGAAAAAAGTATTTAATAAGATTATTTCATTCATTCAGATCTAGGATGTGTTATTTTAGTGTTCCCTTAAGTTTTTTGAGCAGTATATATATATATATATATATATATATATATATATATATATATATATATTGAGGTGAGAGCATTGGAAATTATTTTGGCGGTTGACCTGCTTCTGTTTTGTGGGTGGCACTGTGTGCTGTTTTCGATGGATGGGTCCTGGCCTCTCGGGGGCCTAGGGATTCGGGGGGACGTGGGTGGTATGCTGATCACTGGGATGACGGCCCAACTTGGGATGGGGAGGGGCTTTAGCAGGGGGAATTAGTGGAGAACAATTGGAGGGTTACTTAGTAGCAATGCAAATATCATGGTACAGCTATATGGACAGTCAATCGCTATGGTATTTTTTATTGGTAAATTTACAAACATATATAATGATAAATAGATTTGAAACTTGTATCCCATTATGGCATGTGGTGAAATAAGTATAGCTAGTTATAATTGTAATGGCTTAGCAGATAATAACAAAAGAAGAACAATATTTACGGGGCTCCAAGAGAAGGAATATAATATCTATTGTTTACACGAAACTCATTAAACAATTCTAGATTAAGTTGCGTGGAAAAAAGGAATGGGGGGGCTAAATATACTTCTCCCATGGGCAAAGAAACTGTCACGTTCGTCGTGTAAAGGATTGGACCAAGGTGCAGCGTGGTATGCGTACATGTTTAATATTATAATAAAGCAACTGAACGTGAAGTTCTAAAGGCTAACATAAACAGAAACAAGATCCCACAACTAAAGGTAGGCAAAATGGCTGCCTAAGTATGATCCCCAATCAGAGACAACGATCGACAGCTGCCTCTGATTGGGAACCACACCCGGCCAACATAGAAATAGAATAAACTAGATTCTATCCAAATCACACCCTGACCTAACCAAACAGAGAATACAGGTGATCTCTAAGGTCAGGGCGTGACAGAAACTCAAAAGGGGTGGTGATATTAATTAACAGTAATTTTGATCCGAATGTGCACATTTTCCAAACAGATACGCAAGGTAGATGGATTATTTTAAATATGTTATTGGACCCTAAACAGATATGGCTCATTAACCTTTCCGGACCAAATAATGATGATCCACACTTCTTTGACAATATATATAATAAATTATCAACTCTGCAAGCAATTCAATACTCTATTATTATGGTGGGAGATTAAAATACTGTTTTAAATAGCTCAATGGACCGTAAAGGAAATCACACTACAAACAATCCCTCTCATGCTCTTAAGGAAATCGTGAATGTCATGGATACATTAGAACTAGTAGATATATGGAGGCTTAAATATCCTGATCTAGTGAGATATACATGGCGGAGACTCAATCAAGCTAGTCGTCTTGACTTCTTTCTTATGTCATTCTCATTGGCACCAAAAGTTTAAAAAGTGTTGATAGGGGACAGAATGCCGTCGGACCATCATATAATTGGCATATACAGTGGGGAAAAAAAGTATTTAGTCAGCCACCAATTGTGCAAGTTCTCCCACTTAAAAAGATGAGAGAGGCCTGTCATTTTCATCATAGGTACACGTCAACTATGACAGACAAAATGAGAAAAAATCACATTGTAGGATTTTTTATGAATTTATTTGCAAATTATGGTGGAAAATAAGTATTTGGTCAATAACAAAAGTTTCTCAATACTTTGTTATATACCCTTTGTTGGCAATGACACAGGTCAAACGTTTTCTGTAAGTCTTCACAAGGTTTTCACACACTGTTGCTGGTATTTTGGCCCATTTCTCCATGCATATCTCCTCTAGAGCAGTGATGTTTTGGGGCTGTCGCTGGGCAACACGGACTTTCAACTCCCTCCAAAGATTTTCTATGGGGTTGAGATCTGGAGACTGGCTAGGCCACTCCAGGACCTTGAAATGCTTCTTACGAAGCCACTCCTTCGTTGCCCGGGCGGTGTGTTTGGGATCATTGTCATGCTGAAAGACCCAGCCACGTTTCATCTTCAATGCCCTTGCTGATGGAAGGTTTTCACTCAAAATCTCACGATACATGGCCCCATTCATTCTTTCCTTTACACGGATCAGTCGTCCTCGTCCCTTTGCAGAAAAACAGCCCCAAAGCATGATGTTTCCACCCCCATGCTTCACAGTAGGTATGGTGTTCTTTGGATGCAACTCAGTATTCTTTGTCCTCCAAACACGACGAGTTGAGTTTTTACCAAAAAGTTCTATTTTGGTTTCATCTGACCATATGACATTCTCCCAATCCTCTTCTGGATCATCCAAATGCACTCTAGCAAACTTCAGACGGGCCTGGACATGTACTGGCTTAAGCAGGGGGACACGTCTGGCACTGCAGGATTTGAGTCCCTGGCGGCGTAGTGTGTTACTGATGGTAGGCTTTGTTACTTTGGTCCCCGCTCTCTGCAGGTCATTCACTAGGTCCCCCCGTGTGGTTCTGGGATTTTTGCTCACCGTTCTTGTGATCATTTTGACCCCACGGGGTGAGATCTTGCGTTGAGCCCCAGATCGAGGGAGATTATCAGTGGTCTTGTATGTCTTCCATTTCCTAATAATTGCTCCCACAGTTGATTTCTTCAAACCAAGCTGCTTACCTATTGCAGATTCAGTCTTCCCAGCCTGGTGCAGGTCTACA